TGCCGACGTAAGTCCAGTAGCCCGGCCCGTGAACTCGTTTAACACGATCATCTTATCATTCATAGTCCCTTGCACCGCGGCTTCACCTTGGGCTCGAGTGGGATCCGTCACGGGTTGCTCCTCCACTGTATCTCGCGGTTGTTGGGTTGGCGAGGGCTCTATCTTAAGGTCTTCTCCCAAACATTCCGGATCATTTGGTCCTCGCGCCCCGTCGATGTTTCCGATGACAAGGTCGTAAAGGGGGGTCGTCATACATAGAACCGTAACCTTCCCGCTGAAGTATGGGGTTTCAACCTCAATCTCTGCTTCGGGAAGCACCCGAACCGTTCGGTCAATTAGGCAAACCGGTTTCGTTCTGCCTGTCAACTCACTTTCCCGTACCAAATTTCTCCGCACGATAACCGTGGAGCTACCGGTGTCTCTTAGAACCGTAATATTCTTGCCTGCAACCTTTCCAGGCAGCGTTGGCATTCCCTTCGTAACACCAGTTGGCTGTTTTGACATTACAGCACCTACAATAGGAATCTTCTCCCCACTTTTCAACTCTACGAATCCATCTGTGACGGCATTATCATCGGATTTCGGTGCTGCTAGTACACAGGATACCTGGTGAGTTTGACTTGCTCCGTTTCGACATGCGTCTGCTTTGTTCCCAGTCTGACCACACTTAAAACATTTTGCTGCCGTAGGGCTCGTAAAGATCGTTTGACAGTTTTTCGCGCGATGACCCACTCGGTTGCACAGAAAACATCGCGGAGTGCTCTCTGGTGCACGCTTCTTTTCTTCGGGAGCCAATTTCTTCGTATCATCGGGACACTCCTTCTTGACTTTGGCCAAATTAGTTCCACCTTGCGCTTCCAAGAATTGATCAGCCAATTCAAGCATTCCTTCAAGTGACTCAGCCTTCCTCTCTTTCAAATACAGCGACAGGCTTGGGTGGCAACTAGTAAGAAATTGTTATCTAATTAGGAGCTCTCTAAGTTCATCGTACTCCTGCGCTGTCCCTGAAAGTTCAATCCATCTGTCGAAATAATGGCAAAGTCGGGCAGCATACTGCGTAGCCGTCTCACCATCAGCTGGCTTTCCTGTCCGAAATCTGTCCCGGAATCCTTCTACAGTAAACCTAATTCGCTTCAGCAAAGCAGCTTTCACCTTTGCATAGTTGGCTGCATCGGTCGGCGTCAGCCTACGGTACACACTGAGCGCTTCACCACTCAAGCAAGTACTCAAAGCAGTTGCCCATTGATGTTCTGGCCAATTCTGGCTCTTCGCAATCGTCTCGAATCGGTGAAGGTACGCGTCAAGGTCGTCCTTCCCCTCATCAAACGCTACGAGCAGCTTGCTTGGGTTCAAGCGGAAGCCATGATCTTCCCGTTCGCTGCTTTCAACTCTAGCTTGGACCGGAGTTTCACTTCGCTGTTGCAAACAGAGCCGCTCGAGTTCCATCTCGTGCTGCCGCTGCCATTCCCTTTCAGCCATCTCCGCTTCTCTTTCCTCTCTCGCCCTTTCGGCTGCCAACTTCCCTCTCTCTCTCCAGCTCCAACTTCAATTGATGCTCTCTTTCTTCCTTCGCCCTTTCAGCGGCCAGCCTTTCTCTCTCCAACTCAGCTGCTTTTTCTTCCTTGGCTCTCTCTTTTTCTTTTTTTTCCTTCTGGGTGACCCACTTCCGTAGTTCGGCGCCAGAAAGCCTCATCTTCTCACCAAGAGGGACTAACTTTTCGAGATCCATTGTGTCTCGCAAATAAAACCTTGCCATGTGCAAAAAATATCTGCCTAAATCGGTCTATCGGAACCCTCCCCTGCACTCGTTAACGAGAACACTGAACAACACACAAAATCGTTCCGATAGCAGTATCATCAACTCGAGGCTCTATCCAACTTCCTTGGACACACTGTGCACCAAAAGGTCCTGTCGCGGACGCCAGATTAATTGTCACACCTGTCCCGTTTATTAGGGAGGCGATCGCCGGGCTAATTCCAAGGGTTGAAGTATCGGCCCTCCGAACCGCACCACGAAAGCGTGGACAATTTAGAAGTGGTCCTTTTTGGCGCGCCAGCGGATGCCGGCTGTGGTCCAAAGAACAAGTCAGAGCCGAGAGTTGATAAACAAAACAAATATTATATTCTCAAAAATGGCAGATCGAAAACAATGCACAAGAATGCACACTCCACAATAGTTACATACAATACGTCACCAAACAAACAACGTACTACACAGTACAATCAACCACACTTGAAACAACGGACACAGACAACAATACGCACTACAATGCAGTCGCATGCATTGAACAACCAAGACACTTAAAGACTAAAGAGATAGAAAACCTATTCAGTCCAAAGTTCTTGGAACCCAAGTCTAGATGATACTCTTCCGACAATCACTCACTCAAAGTCCAGCGTTGTTGTCGTTCCGCAGCCCTCGAAGTTTCTCTTCCAGGAAACCTCACGTCTTCAATTGGCCACTCTCCAAGCTTCAAACTTCTTCGCCCGAACTAGTCGGCTTCACACACGCAGCTGTCGCCACGCGTCTTCGCTCGATAGTGGTAAACACACGCTCTTGCCTGTAGCTCGAGCCTTCACCCCTCAGGTGGGAATCCTCTTCATCTCCTGCTTCGTCCCTACGGACAAACCCTTCGCCGACTACACGGCGGAAACCCTACGCACTCTGGCGCTAAATTCCGTCTTCTCCTGATCTCTCATCTCGGCTGCTCGGTTAAATACCTTGCGCGCGACATTACAGACGGTTCTCGTCATTTCGTCGGCGCGATACGCAGCGAAGGCTGGGAAGAGGGCGAGACGGTTGGAACGCCCTCCGCGGCCGATGACTCAACTCGGTATGACCACGCTCCTTTCGTTCTGGAACTTTCGCGGGCTATCTCGGCCGCCGATGTGGGGCGAGGAGGTTCGTCGGCGAAGCCACTCTTCAGAGGGGAGAGCGCGCGCCCCGGGGGAGCCTTTAGATGTTTGTTTTCTTTTTTTCTTTTGACCTCGCGGTGCCACTCCGGCGTTTTGTCGCGACGATTTGGCGGCGCGCCCATTTTTAGCGCTCGTTCTGTGACAGCGAGGACGTCACGTGATGTCGCCAGCATGTGACGTTACGTAATGTGACACCATAGTTACATCATCACAAGATGATCTACACTAATTAATAACCTCGTATTGGTAAAAAACTATTTCACGAATGGAGAAACACCTCGCGCTTGATGCGAGAAGACGCCTAAAGAGAAAATGCTGGTGGCTACGGCCCCCTGAAAATTACTGCTCCAGTCGCCATGACGTTATTGACTTCGACGGTGTCTAGTAGGGCACTAGAAAGTTTAGCTGAGCCTACGTCGCCAAAGTACGAAATAAATAAATAAATACGTTTATTTTTTCATGCCACTACGGGAAATTCTAGCGAGAAATTTTAAAGTGATACTTTTACGCTATTTTCTAATGCGAAGGACGCTTGAGCTTCGCCTTCATGAGTAGGGCACGACTACGTAATGAGCCTTGCGCACGTCATCTTTTGTATTGCTAGACTATAGCTTTGGTTCTTGGTGCGTGCCTCAACCTTGCCGTCAGAAAAAAAATGACTGTGAGCGTAACACTGGCCGTTTCAAACTGTCCTAGAATGCCTACTACTGGTAGAGTTTATTAAGGGCTCACTGCGTCATGATTCTTCCTTTTGCGAATCGTCGAAGGGCCCAGCATGCGTTCGTATAAGGAAGGAAGAACGAGAAGAAGGCAGGGAGGTTAACCAGGCACATGCCCTGTTTGCTATAAGGCAGCACACAAACCGATACGCACCTGCAATCCAGCTGCCCACTTTGTTTATGCATTCACAACTGATAATCTTAAAATATGTCTGAGCACTTTGTGTGATAGTTAGACTTTTGAAACGCCCATTCGTTTTGCAGTTTACTTGTTTTGACGCTTGGTGAAATATTACCCTTCTGCCATGCACTAATACAGGTGTTGAGGAAACCGATTCCTCTACGTAGCAATCGTATGGTTGTTTTTTTATTTTCCTTTTGTAGCAATATCGTGGCTCTGTGGCAGAACACCTGCTTGCTAGTATAGTCTCACTCGAACAAAAAAATTGAGATTATTTATTTGCAGCTTTCTGTTTTTCTTGGTCTCGAACAGGATGATGAATTTTTGCTCACACTATATGATGCCGCCACCAGAATTTCCGCGGGACGAGCTCTTAATTCTACTGCGTTAAAGTCCAACTCCGGCGATTTCCCCTGGTCAATAGATCTCAATAAAATTCACTGGGTACATTCTTTTGCACATTTCCGTCATTCGTACTAAATCACAGTCTTGAGAGATGCGCTGATTGTTTGAAAATGAATTTTAAACATTGCTTCGAAAAGCTCACCTCACTTGCCAGAACTATTGGCAAGACTGCTTGTGTGACCTCATGTTTGGCACGTCGACGGAATTGACCGCTACAGCGTTTATTCTGCTGGCCACAAGGCGATGGCGGCAATGTTTGGCACGGGTGTATATAGCACGGGAAAGCTTTCTTGCTTCCTCTGTTGTGTTTGGTGGGCACTTCACTGGTCTGGTTTTCACAGTTTTGACACTCAGCCCCCGCGAGACCAGTATACGGCTTCCGGTTCTTACCAAATAGTACGTCACACGCAGACAGGCCGCCCGGTTGGGTTTCAGTTTTGGTATCGCACCTTTTTGCTTATTAAAATATATTTTCACATTTCCTGAGCATCTCAGCTAATGGGCTTGGGAAAAGAGTGTCTCAGGAATATAGAAACATCATTATTTTGACTTGGTCAAAATATCGCTGGAGTTGGCCTTTAAGAGTGAACCCACGGTGGTGAAATGAACGACGCTTTTCGTACTCCTGCTGAATCATACTTTATCACACCAATTCATCGTTTCAAGAATATTTCTCGTTCTTTGAAGAGTTATGTGCATCCGAGGAGCCTGCTTGTTTATCGACAGCTGACACTCCAGGTACCTTCTAACCAGATTCGATATTTCTCTGTCTGTCGCAGTGCCGACTCGGAAATCGTGACGCCGTACTCGAAATTTGTGCTCTACGACCCGCGAGTGAAGCGTATCAGACGCGATTACAACTACGCCCAGAACAAGACCAAGATGGCCGCCTGGTTCGTGTCGAACTGCGAAACCACCAACAAGCGCCTCGAGTATGCGCGCAAACTAAGCGAGTATGTACAGGTACGAAACAAAGTCAGTTATTGCTCTCTGTAATATGCTAATATCAGGCACTAACATGGACAGATAATCCGCTGCTGTTTCTTCCGTTTCGCAAGGGCCTATTTTTAAGGGGAAGATTTCCTTATCATCCATATTGAACCTCGTTATAGTGAACAGAGGTGTTTGACTATTCGCCTACAGCGAACTAAATACAATCTTTGGAAGCTGCACTTCGTTTTAGTAACATTCTCTTTAAAATGAAACCACAAGCGTGAGAAACGCCGTGATATGCGCTGCAACGATGAAATATTTGGTTTGCGCGAGCTTCAAAACATGAGTGGAGTAGCACAATTGTAAGGAGAAAATGGTGGCGTAACCTCGTACTTGCACTAAAAATGTCGTGCAAATACGATAGTCTTCTTCCAGCCGTATACTACATGAGTCCTGGTCTCATCCGAGGCAACCATGATGACTGCGTAAGATATGGACGCCATCTGGCAGTGGCGTCGGGAAACATGAGCTTGTGCCAAACACAGGGGCATTTCCAGGTGGTAACACCATGTTGTCAGTAGAGTGCCTTTTTGCGCATAGCGTCGCATTTTTTTTTTGCGCAGCGTGAGACACACTACGGGCTTTAAATTACGTATCTATGTGTTTTCTAGTAAACGAACTAACCATCTAACAGGTATAGAGGCTGCGCCTCAGATATGCGTATATAGTGATTGCATTATGATCGAATATGTTCACAAGTATGAACGCAGCCACCAGTTCAAGATGGCTGGGCGTTCAGCAAAGGCTTTAAACTTTGGCCAGTTGGCAGAATCGTGTGACAGACAGGCAGACAGACAGATCAACATTTCTGTTTTGAAGTATCCCAAGAAATACTATCGTCTTTAAAAAAATTGGCAGCATATCCACGCAGTGAATGATGGAGAGCGGGGCGAAACATTCATTCGTCCATTCGTTCTTGCTTCCGTCCCGTCTATGCGTCCGTCTGTGTGACCGTCCATGCGTCCACCCGCCCGTCCGTGCGTGCGTCTGTTTGTGCGTCCGTCCCTGCGTTCGTCCCTGCGTTCGTCCACACATCCACCCCAGCGTCCGTTCATGCGTCCATCCATGCATCTGTCTGTGTGTCCATTCGTCCATCTATCAACACTCCAAGTACCACCATCTCGCATCTTTTCATCATATATTCCCCATATAGAAGCACCGCCATCCAGCGGACATTTCAAGGACTGAACGAGAGGTGGCACACGCACACTTTCTTACGGCTTGCGCTTCGGGTCTACTTCCCACCTTTAACCACCTCTAGTTTATGGTATATACTAGTTCACTGTATTCATGGCACTGTGGCCCAATGCTCACTAAACCTTTCCGAAACCAAGGAGGTTACGCCCAGCGAGTATAACGCAGCAACCTTTTCCTGTCAGATAGTGCTCAATCTACATGCCAATGGCTGCTAATGGAGAATGAGAGACATAAGCATTCGGCTTTTAGTTAACGCGCACGCTGCGAATTTTTTTATTGTTCAACAACGCACAGAAAAAATCTCTCACCGGCATCACCTTGGAGGTCAAAATGTAACACTTGTTACACACTACGACTATGACTACGAGGGACGAACGGGTGCCGCTTTAAAAAGCTTTTGTTACACCAGACAGTTAGTTGTACTCACCTGAAATGTTGTTACCAGTTCGCAATAAACTTCCCTATTCCGCCCCTAAAATTGAAAGAACAATCACTGCTCATTGCCTTCCGCGTCTTTTCAGGGCACTACGGATGAACTCGCGCGAGAACTTTGTGACCGCTACATCTGCCGCACAATTGATCCCGCAGGCCCAGCATATACGTATTCCGGCGCCCCTAACACCGACCTCGACGCCCCATACACGCTTTCTGATTTACGATTTGCACTCACGAAAATGCGACGGGGCACGGCCCCTGGACGCGACGGAATCACAGTATCGCTCCTGGCAAATCTTCCCGACCAAGCACACCTCTCGCTACTCCAGCTTATAAATTCGATATGGGACGGTTCTCCGCTTCCAACGGAATGGACCACATCGGTCGTGACATTCATTCCCAAATCGGCAAAGTCCATTAGTATTGAGGCACTGAGACCCATCTCACTTACGTCTTGCGCAGGCAAACTCATGGAAACCATGGTTCGCGAACGCCTTTCAGCCTACTTGGAGGCCAGGAGCACCTTTGCCGACACGATGTTTGGCTTTCGCCCGCATCTGTCGGCGCAGGACGTCCTGCTCCAGCTTCAACACGATATCATAGAGCCGACTACTATGCGCCATAACGATAAAGCCGTGCTCGCTCTTGATCTCCGCGGGGCTTTCGACAACGTTAAACACAGCACTATACTCACTAACCTGTCTACCACAAACTGCGGGCAGAAGACTTTCAACTACATTCGCGCCTTTCTATCACATCGCACCGCCTTCATTCGCCTTAATTCTACCGAACATGGCCCGTACTTATTAGGCACGCGGGGTACACCTCAAGGGGCAGTCCTGTCTCCTCTGCTTTTTAACCTGGCGATGATGAACCTCCCCTCTCTTCTAAGCGAGGTCGAGGGAATACAACACGCACTATATGCGGACGATATCACAATCTGGACCAACACCGGCTCTTTAGCGCAAATCGAAGAACGCCTGCAAAAGGCTGCTTTCTGGTGGACACCTACGCAGGCTCATGTGGCCTGGAGTGCTCTCCAGCTAAATCGGCTCTTCTTTCAGTCTCTCCGCTACCGCCGCCTCAAATTTTTCTTCCGTCCGGGCCCGTCCCGTCAGTGCAAAATATTAGGGTTCTTGGCCTTCACCTCACATCGTCTTTGGATCCAAAGGGCACAATAGCAGGCCTCAGACGCACCAGCGAACAGGTGAGCCGCATGATACGGCGAGTTTCTACCAAGCGCGGCGGCCTCCGCGGGTCTCAGTCCCTCCGATTGGCCCACGCGTTTGTGACCAGTCGCGTCCTCTACGCCTTGCCTTACCTTCGCCTGCGTCGTCGACACGAGCACCAGCTGGACGTCCTTCTTCGTTCAGTATACAAACGCGCTCTGGACCTACCTATTGCAACTTCCAACAGCCGATTCACGGCTCTGGGGGTACACAACACCTTTGCAGAGATGCGCGAAGCTCATCGCGTTAACCAAATCAATCGACTGTCGCAGACGCCTTCAGGGCGCCGTCTTCTACACAGACTTGGCCTTAACCCGATATCTGACCAAGACCCTCTGCAGCCGGTACCAGAGCTCTGGCGTCAAAAGCTATGGGTGGAACCTCTACCCCGTAATATGAACACCGACCTCCATCCTGGCCGTAGACTAGCACGCGCCGCGGCCCTTCATACGCGACACTCCGATCGTCCTGGTGTTTTCTACGTGGACGTCTCGGGTCCCTCCCCCTCGGGTCACTTCGCGGCTGCCGTGATTACAGAGGGCAAACACGTAGATGGCCTCTCCTTTCGAGCAGACACAGTAACGCACGCTGAAGAGGTTGCCATAGCTTTGGCCGCCTCTCACCCTGCCTCACGCACCATCCTGACGGACTCGCGCTCGGCCTGTTCTCAGTACCTTCAGGGTTCCATTGCTCCGCTGGCGGCTAGCCTACTACAGGCAGCCTCTTGGCGCTTTAACCCTCATCCCATTCGTATAGTGTGGACCCCAGGCCACTCGGGCCTGCCCGGCAACGAGGCGGCAAATGCCGCTGCCCGCGCTTCTCCTGTCCGGGCCGTTGCCCCTCCATGTCCCGAGACGGAATCTGGCAATACCAACCTGACGCGCTTTCGCGAAATTTTGGCTTATTACCGGGCTTCGCGCCGCCTCTACCCGGACCCCGCACGCGGTTTGGAGAAAGCGGACGAACGACTGCTACGCCGCCTGCAGACGAACACCTTTATCAGTCCGGCGGTCGCCAGGCACTTTTTGCCGGAAATCAATGGCACCTGCTCGACCTGTCATGTGCTCGCCGACACATATCACGTCGTAGCATCGTGCCCAGTTAATCCCGTCCCTTTCTCATCCCCTTTTCCTATCCCAACTAGAGAGGCTTGGGAGGAGCACCTGCTCGGCTGCTCTACCTTGGCTGCACAACGCTCCTTGGTGGAGCGCGCACGGGCAGCTTCCAGCTCCACTGGCGTCCCGGAATAGGGTCTTGCCACTCTAGCACGCCGATGGGCCACGTCGGCACTCCCTAGTAAACTTTTTCTAAAATAAATGTTTCTTACCACCTACCACCCGCGTCTTTATGCATTTAAGATATCTTTCACTCTAATGGGGGGTTTAGCGGAAGTGCGTTCTATCGATCACATGCGATATTCTCGAGCGAGGTGGTCTAGATATATTGTCGTTTCCTATTACCCCGGAGTGCGTCATATTCTCGTCATATTTTCATACATCACGAGGTACATACTGTCTGGTATTTCGCCAGGTTTCTTCCTATAATTTTCGCAGAAACCTGATAGATCTTTATCCCTCTTCATTACCAACAGGTAGACATCTATGGCGCATGCGGACCCCATGAGTGCTCGCGGTCGCAAGGCAAGAGGTGCGGTGAGTTGCTGGATAGGGATTACTTCTTCTATCTCTCCTTCGAGAACGCCAACTGCAAGGACTACATCACCGAGAAGTTCTTCAACGCCCTCAAGTACGTGCCCTTTGCCGGGTCTCGCTCGAGTTAGCCTTTCACGCGCGAGAAGCGATGACGTCGAACAGCAATATCGCAGAAATAACTAGGCCTCGTTCTTTGAAACAACTTGGGTTAATTGGAGGCTATGGCTTTCTGTTTCGCAAGACGATTGTGTGATGATGCATCCATATCACAAGGAATACTGCGAACCCAGACTTTGTATTACAGTCTTTCGTAATACTCATTATAAGAGGTACACAGCCTATTTCTGTTCGGCTCCTTGTCTGTCTATCTATCTATCTATCTATCTATCTATCTATCTATCTATCTATCTATCTATCTATCTATCTATCTATCTATCTATCTATCTATCTATCTATCTATCTATCTATCTATCTATCTATCTATCTATCTATCTATCTATATATCTATATATCTATCTATCTATCTATCTATCTATCTATCTATCTATCTATCTATCTATCTATCTATCTATCTATCTATCTATTATGCCTGTCTGTCTGTCTGTCTCACATATTTTTCTGTGTAGACGTAACGTCGTCCCCGTGGTGATGGGCGCCTCCCGCGAGGAGTACCGGGCCGCGGCTCCGTACCACTCGTACATCCACGTGGACGACTTCGCGTCTCCCAAGGAGCTGGCCGAGTACCTTCGCCATCTCAGCAGCAACCATTCGCTGTACAACCAGTACTTCGAGTGGAAAGGCACCGGGGAGTTCGTGAACACGTACTTCTGGTGCCGGCTGTGTGCCATGCTGCACGCGCCGCCACCACCTGCGGAGACACGGCGCACCCTGGAGGTGTACAAGTGGTGGAAACACAATGCGTGCACGACGGTGGACAGTTCACGCTGAATCAAATGACCGATTGAGTCGGACGAAGAACGGAACTCGGCCGCCGTGGGTGCCTTTACATTTATCCCTGGATCGTCCGTCCACTATCTCATTCTGTGACTGATATGAAGGAAAGTTACCGTGTCATTGTTATTCTCATCCAGCGTTTACGTCACTGAAGGAGGATGGCCTCTTCCGGTCGTCTTCTATGCAACCAATCTTGCATGACCTTATCTGATTTTAGTCAGCCACGGTGGGGCTGTGGTCAAGTGCTCGGCTACTGAGCCGAAATTTATGGTCTTGATCCTGGCCGTGGTGGTCTCATTTCGATGAAGGCGATATGCTAGTGGCTCGTGTACATACACTGCGATGTCAGCACGCGTTAAAGAACGACAGATGGTCAAAACTTCCGGAGCTTCCCCTATGACGCGCGTCATAATTATATCGTGGTTCTGGCCCGTTAAACCACATATATGGAGGCAGGAGAAAATTAAGAATAATTACTATAATAGCGGGGGTTGTACGTCCCAAAGCCACGAAACGATTATGAGAGACGCCGTATTGGAGGACCCCGCGGTAGTTTCGACCATTTGGGGTTCTTTAACGTGCCCTGGCATCGGACAGTACAAGGGCCTGTAGCATTTCGCTGCCACCGAAATACGACCGCCTGGGCCGGGATCGAAACCGCGACCTTTGGGTTACCAGCTGAGCACTCTAACCACCGTCCCACTGAAGCGGAGGAAAGAGAATCGAATGCGAGAGCCTTAAATGTCTCGGCGAACGCGAAAATTCACTATCGGTGTCAACACTATAGTGATGCGAAAAATCACCACCGCGTGATGAAGTCACTATGGAGTCAATCCCTACCGAAAAATATGACGTCATCGCATGACATCGGCACTTGTTCAAAGGTGAATCGATCACGGAAGCTGTGTAAAATCAGGTGAGCGGCAAGAAGCTTTTGATGCCTCCGATGACTGAGTAAGTGGAAAACTATGGCGCTTAGTGCAAAGAGCTCTCGGAGTGGTGAAGGGGACAGTCAATACAGTGGCCTAAAGGGGAAAAAAAATCACTTTCTCTGTCTAGCCGTCTTTGGTAAATGCACTAGTGAACCTGCGAGTTCGTTTATTTATCCACCAAATTAAGAGAAACACAACAACACAAAACAAGGCATAGCAGGGCCGTAACTAGGGGCAAGGTGAGGGGGGTGAGGGGGTTCTGACACCCTTCACATTTTTGTGTGCTTCAACATTTCGATAGAAACTAAACTTTTTACACTCTTCCACATCGACCCCAAGGTTAGCAAGTCGACGCATAAACATTCCCCTAAAAAAAATTCCTGGCCATGGCCATGGACGACATACTGAGACTGGCAGATCACATGGTTACTAAAGCACGCGCTTGACGGCCTGAGGAGGGCGCTCACCCAGGCAGTGAAAAAAAAAAAATAGAGGAGACGCTGGCTATACCTGTGATTGTATGTCCACCCCTTTAGCGACCTTAAGAGGGTTAACAGCATTATTAAGAAATAAACAAAAAAATGCAACCACTAAGCGTATGAATATATTGTGCACATGTATGCGACAGGCGAGCCATGGTACTTCGGGCAGAACATGTTTATATTCGTACGTTGTAAGCGACCTCTTTCGGCTATCCAGTAACTCGTGTAAACAAAAATCTGGGCAGGTATAAACGCTGCACATGGCTCGGCTTTTATAGTTCAGAAGGGGGAGTGTAAAAGCTAGATTGCTCAGATATCCAGCTTTTACCACCTTCTTTCTCTTTCGATCACCACTTGGCTTGACTGAACCGGCGCCGATGGCGAAAAACAGCGTCGGCTGCTCGCGCAAGCGGTTGAAATGCTCGGCCTTTAGTTTGTCGCTGAAATAACACTCATTACTATCTCTTGTAATTTTTAGAAAAAGATTATTTACATTAGGTACAAAAAAAACAAGAAAGTCATAATGCTGTAATAAGGGACACACACACATGTTGTACATACACTTTGTTGTAGGGAACACATAATTACTCTAATATAAATGGAATACGTGTCATGCATGTACAAAATAAGTTAATGGGATATCATGATACAATGAATTTAACGGTACAACTACACAACAGATGCAATGAAACACAACTGGTTACAAATGAAGGCATGGACAGCAACTCAACAGGCCCTGCTTAGCACCATGTCTGTTGAAAAATGAGTTCTACTTTTTCGTGTTCAACATTGACAAAAAGGTGTGTAATTAGAAAAAAAAATGCCCCCACCTCCCCGAAACGGATCGTGAGGAAATCGGATTGCATTTCGTGTGCCGAGAGAGGGTACCGTTGCCGTGAGAGATTCACCTTCGCCGACTTCTGCCATTGCCTTGAGAGGCGCTCAAGCCAGCGAACGGTTGAGAGTGAGGAGCCAGCGGACGGGAGAGTGTGGCGCTAGCATTCTCGGCTCGGCGTTGCCGTTTCACAGCGGCGTCTCGAGCACACATTTCAGAATGTTCTTGAGAGGCGCCCAGCCAGCGAACGGTCGAGAGTGAGGCGCGAACGGACGGGGAAAGTGGGGCGCAGGGAGGAGAGAGAGCGAACGGGGAGAAAAAGAGCTGCGAAGCACTGCACCTCATGTACGACATGCTCCGGTTGCGGCAAGGATAAGCGCGCGCGCCCGGAGCTGTTGCTGTGGGAGAGGGAGTGATCGTGAAGGGATAACACCTACCGGTGCGCGGACACCACTGCGGACAACGCCGAATGCCTTCGAATTAGTGCATTCGCATTTAAAAGTTGTTAACAGTTAAGAGTACTTGCTAATCACCTAGGGGAGAGCTGAAAGCCGTCCCGTGGGCCTCACACTTGATGAGGTCACATGGACAAAAGGCTCGTGTGTTTAGCAAAAAAAAAAAAAGGCAGATCCCACGTACAGTGGGAGGCGTTGATATGCGAAACACGATTGAGGAAGGTTGATATGTGTCTAATATCGGCACAACAGTAGGAGGCACAAAGAAATTATGCCACACATGACTTTATTGTCATGATTATCACGTTTGACGTGCCATTTACCTCCGTCATCTATTCACGTCACATGATATCAAATTTGGCCTATGTGCAGCTATAGCGAAACGGCCGCGAGCACGCTATGAGCGTAGCATGTAGTCATGTTTTACATGACACGAATATCATGATTATCATGTTTGGACGTGTTACATACCTTTGTCGTGCATTCACGTCCTGCAATACCAAACTTGGTATATGTGAAGCTAGCGAAACGGCGGCGAGTGCACGTCACGTTTATGCGCGCGCACGCTGGGCGCAGCGACGCTACGCTAGCAAAACGCGAGCACTCCATATTCTGACGCTAGGCGCGACCAGCGTCTGTCGGCGAACCCCGGCAATCGGCGCGAAATGCGCCACGCTGCATTTTGCGCCGACGACGTTGCCTGCCAGCACTGAGTCTGCTCATCTTCGTTACGGGAAGGATGCTGGGCGTGCACAGCTGCGCATGCGTCAAAGCAACGCAGCGCGGCGTGCGCCTGCAGATCGGCGAATGGCGTAGCATCACCGGCGTGACGCCACGAAACGAACACCGGCACGCACGCGCGCTGCGCCACATCGAAGTGTTTTGGCGCCTTGAGTGTGGCACGTAGTGATATTCTTACATGGCTCGCATCTCAGAATTATCATGTTTGCACCAGTCGCATACCTTCGCCATCCATTAACGTGACGTAATACCAAATTTGGCATATGTGAAGCTAGCGAAACGGCCGCGAGCGCATCATGAGTGTGACATGTAGTCATGTTGTTACATGGCACGCATGTCGTCACTATCATGTTTGGATGTGTCATTTACCTAGTCGTCCGTTCGCGTCGCGTAATACCGAGTTTGGTACATTTAAAGCTAGCGATACGACCGCGAGCGCATCATGAGCGTAGGACGTTGTCATGTTCTTACATGGCACGCATCTCATGATTATCATGTTTGCACCAGTCACATCCCTTCGTCATCCATTCATGTCCCGTAATACCAAATTCGGTATATGGTCTCTTATTCTGTTCACCTCTTCAGACTCTTCTCGAAATAAAAGCTTTAAAACGTTTACGCTCTCACGGAAAACATTTTTTTTCATTTGAACATTAGCATTTCATTTTATCTTACTGATATTTTTTTTTGTAATTTACAATATGTACGTATTTACGTATTCTACATCCATACGAACTCGTAATAGCTCTCACTTTTTCTGTGTTTTGTTGTCGAGCTAGTCAAGCAGCGTATGAATTGTATACATCTTTCGCACATTCGATGACGCACCTCGTAGTATTTTACGCGCCTAACTGTCTCGACGATAGTAATAACAAGAATATCTGTGGTTGTGCGTACAAAACCAAAACATGATCATTAGGTACGATGGGGGGGTAGATGGGGGGCTCCAGAAAATTTAGACCACCTGGTGTTCTTTAACAAGCACTGACATCGTACCACCCACGGGCTTTTACCGTTTCGCCTCCATCAAAATGCAATCGCCGCAGCCGGGATGGAGCCCGCCATCTACCGGTCAGCAGCAGAGCCCCGTAATCTCTATTCCACCAACAATGTAAGCAACGCAAAATATTGCAATGGTATAACTGAATGTCTTCGTATAAACACCCTTTATGATTTATATATATCTTGCTGAGCAGCACGGCGAAGAAGAGGAAGGGCCGTTCTATGCGATAGCCGCACAGCCACAACGCACGTGCCGGCCTACCTGCCGCACCCTAGCGGAGGGTGAAAGAGCGTCGCCAATTGGCTGACCCCCGCTTGCGTGCGGCAGGGGTCCCAACACGTGTGTTGCGGTGTGCGGCAAGCGCGTGGAACCGCCCGAAGTCGTTTAATGAAGAAATGGAGAGAGATCGGCCTCAAAAGCTGCAGTACCTCGTCTACTACTGTTCACAGCACTAAGGAGAAAAGGGAGAAAAAGAAGAAGAGAAAGGTTTGATGACAGTTCACTATGGTACGGTACAATGATTCACTGTAGACACTGTCACGAGTGTACGATGGCCTGCGAAAGTTTTTATAAAGTAGCACTTGCTTTAAAGATGGGCCTCGAAACATGTCTCGCTTATAGAAACCTTATCAGGCACATTAAACGTCATTGTGCGTGGTCTAAAAGTTCCCAAACACCTAAAATATTTTCCTCCCAAAAGTGTCGGCAATACGCGTGGACATCTCCACCAGGATCAACTGTGGACCATCCAGCAAGCCCGTGAGTCAGCGAGGGGGAACTCCTCGGGGGTGGCCTACAGGCACGGTGCATGAATTTGCTTGGGGTTTTTATTGAAGTTGTTACCAACGTCCAGGTGATGTATGATGCACTTTAGTAACCTTTCGGTCAGGTATTGAGGGCATCACGGGATGCGGTGAATATGGTCTCTGACGTGTGGCGCACACAGTAGTTAGGCTTCTGCTCTTGTTTGAATCTTGGGAAGAAACAGTCGTGCATACGCAACACGAAGAGCGGCGGATGTCTGCGAAGAAGCGGAAAGCCGCGACCACAAGAAGCAGCACTGATATGGGGCGATAGCGACACAGCTTTGAGTAGCCGCTCGCCACACATCAATGCGACGCGCGTGATGCGAGAACTTCCGCCTCGAAATGACGCTGTATCAGCTTTACATACGATAAGAACACAACAGTGTCACAGCAAATACGTGGCTCGGCGAAGCGACTTTCTTATCCGCAAGCTGCAGCAAGTCAATCTTTGGTACGGTGTTATCAATTATCGTTCACGTTGGCTTCTCCATACACAGCTATAGCATTAACACGCAGCGAAGTTTTCACGTTGATCTGACCACTAGTTGAAAAAAATAACACGAGTTTGGGCCTTATTTGAAAGATCATGGTGTGCAGTTCATGCAAAAGCAACGATTTCGTGCACAGTCTCAATTAGCAATTCAGGATGAAGGAACGCAAGTCATATGCCCTAAACAAAAATAATTCACCATGCGCTTTAATTATCTTGGTATAGGCATGAAAACGAATAGGAATTTGGTTCGAAAAAGTTCGGTCATTTCTGTTGAACAAATTATGTTCGCATGCAGCAAGTTTGGCTGGATTCATGACAGCGAAACAGCACATGAAATGATGACAAAAAGAAATGACAAGACCAAGCGCCGACTATATACCAACAATGCGTTTATATAACACGAACACAGGTATGCGGTTTTCAAATGACCTGCCTGTCCTCTCTGCGTCGCCATTTTTCGCGCTGTTTCGTAGTCATGAAGCCATACCAACAAGTTTTCATGACTTATACGGCTGGGACTTTTATAACGAGTTGGAAGCATTAAACAACCCATTTGCTAGACAACTTATGGGAAACCCACGCGTTTATACACGGCGCGAACAACACCTGAAGTTGCACTGGCGTATCGGTGAAAAAGGCGAAGGCGATGTGGTTACACTAACAACAGTGGGCTATTAAATATGCCAATCGTTTCAAACTTGATACTACGCAAACTAAACCAATCCCGCACGTCTATAGTGGCGGTTAATTACTGGAGCAGTGCAACAAAGCAAGATACTTCATTAGCGAAGCGAACGGCATTGGTATACAATATACCAGTCATTATTGACACCTGCATGAAGACGTAACGTTAACCTACTTGGCTCGATTGTGGGGATCCCGCGCAAGGCACATGGAAGCAATGAAGCCATCACTATGATTATAAAAGTATATCGGCATGAAACAACCACTAAACAAGCACAGAATGAATTTTTATTTCGATTGCGCTTGCCCTTTAGAACTCGCAAAGGAGCAGAAAATTAAGGGCATTTTGTAAAAGATTTCGCACGAGGACTTCAACAACCATGTTTGACGCACAACACACTTCTGTGCGCCGTGCGTGGCCTTGACGCACCTGAACGCGCTATTCGTGTACTTGCAATATTAATGTTGGAGGCGAAGGTGCGCTTCACCTTGTGCGAACAAGAAATTCGGCAAAAAATTGTTGACGAAGTGCGCTGACTGCTCTTCATGGGGAAAAAAATAAGCTACTGATGGTGTATAAACAGCTAGATACGATAATGTGTAACTTCGTAGTCGATGCACTAGTGGTTGCGCCAAGAATCGCCAAACACGCGCATATCGGTACGATTAAATACATATCAACATGGAGATTCTTCCTGAAAGTACACTGGCAGACAAAAAAGACGTTTAGGAATAAACACACAAACAGACACTAAGAAGGATACGAAAATGTAATACGATTACAAATGCGAATAGGTCAGTGCAATTGTTCTGCATTAGATGGGTACACCATGCTCAGTCTATGCATGTGTTGTCATATTACGGTGCTGATTAGGTGTGAACATTAAGACCAAAAATGAGCAAGATGGCTGAGGAAACAAAAAAACAGACAACAAAAAACTAGTACGGAGTTCCCATGTCCCACTCGGCTGGTGCACGTTCAGTACGCGTGCCACGACACGCACCTGCGAGTCGCACGACAACGCATACACGGACAGTCGTAGCAAGCACGGAACGATGTGGATAAGTACGGTGAAATTGTGCGCGGAGCGTCATTAGACTGGACACCATCAGGGTTGGCGGGTGACCGTTTTGCAGGCACCGTTTAGCCACCAGTCGTGCACGCTTGTCCTGCGCTGCTTATCCGCTGGCCGAGGCGGCGCGTGCAGCATGGCGCACAGCCGGCACCAGAAGTACGTGTTCACGAACTCCCCGGTGCCTTTCCACTCGAAGTACTGGTTGTACAGTGAATGATTGCTGCTGAGCAGGCGAAGGTACTCGGCCAGCTCCTTGGGAGACGCGAAGTCGTCCACGTGGATGTACGAGTGGTACGGAGCCGCGGCCCGGTACTCCTCGCGGGAGGCGCCCATCACCACGGGGACCACGTTGTGCCTGCGGGAGTCCCGAAACGAGATTAGACCAAATTGAAATTACTGATTGTCATTGAATTAGCCTTATTCTGGCCCAGAGATCACGCAAGACAGACCTCGAATGCCTTTTATTTTGATTGTGTTAACTATACCATGTAAATAAACGAGACAAGAACCAAGACACACGACAAGGCCAGAGTTTCAGCACTATGTCCTCGACAGTTGGTTCTCAAGACAAGAGCCAAGTCTTAAAACAAGGCTTATGACAATCAAGAACCGTGTCTCAACAAACAAACCAAAACAACACAAGATCAAAGTAAGGCGATACTTAAATCTCAACACCGCACCCAAAACAGGGCAGTGCCCATTAAAACAATACTTGAGAGGAACATGAACTAACTCTCAAAAGAAGACTCAAGACCCAAAACCCAATACAGAGAGTATCCAAGCCTAAGCACAGAGATCAAGACAATTTTAATACTGAAGCCTCAAAACCTGACCAAAAGTGGCACCAGAGAATCACCAAGCCTGAACACAAAACCGGAGACTGTCAAGACAGATCGTTTGGCAACCTGCATGCTAAAAACGTACAAAATTATCATTGATTATTTATCATAAATGATCGACTACTTCAGCAATTCGTTTCATATGGACTAAATCAACATACTCAATTGAACGACATGCACAATCGATAGAACAAAATTAGCATACAGTGGTGACATACCGCAGAGCATTGAAAAACTTCTCGGTGATGTAGTCCTTGCAGTTGGCGTTCTCGAAGGAAAGATAGAAGAAGTACTCCATGTCCAGCATCTCATAGCACCTCTCGCTCTGGTCTCGTGGACACGAAAGAGGTCCGCACTGACCGTAGATGTCCACCTGCGGATCAATCAGACCACGCGGGCATATTTTACTTCTCTAAAATATCGACGTACCCGCAGATAGAATTATTTGAGGCATATAGAATGTTCCGATTGAACAAACATAGAATAAATACTCTATATATAGGTTCTGGCACAGCAACCTAGCCTAAATAAAGAAATACGAAGTAAAAGAAACCTTTGCGCTTAACATGTGCGCTCATAGTCGGGCCTTCATTCCTGTGTTTAAAATGGTATACGGTTCACTGGCAAGAAGTGAGGCTTAAACATTGCGAACGACATTTATTTTCAGCTGTTTTGGTCGATTCCTCGCTGCTAGTTCCCGTGAGCACGGACTTACTCGTGGATTGAGGAGGTGCTTCTTCTTCCACGGTTCGACCTGGCGCTGCGCTTGATTAAACATAACCCTGGCCGCCAAGTCACTAGTTCAGCTCGAGCGAATAAAGTTTTTGTATCGGCCTTGTGGTAAAAACATGGTCATCAGATCCTCTGTAGACTTCCAGAACCATTGCAAGTTTCCACATTTGTCGGGGTAATTTTTATTCATGAACTATTACAATGCCTCCTGCTTTAACTTCATTGGTGGGTCTAGAACGCGAAAAGTGCGCTGATCGAAGTTAAAGCAGATATTCTTTTGTCCACCGGTTGCAAAAGTTTTCACTTAGCTGTTTTCTGTATGCATGCCGTCGTAAAGCTTCCATGCGCGTTAGGTTCATTAACGTGTCATTGCCGCCCTGTCGTAGCACTGCTAGTTTCATTCCCACAAGGAGGTCTGCTGGGGTTAACGCACGAGGTTCCCCGCTGTCAGACTCGATGTAGGTGAGAGCCTCGAGTTCACAACCGCCTCTACTTTCGATAGCACAGTAGTCAGCTCCTCAAAGTTAGGTGGAGCTTTGCCGAGAACCTATCACAGTGCAAGCTTGATTGTCCGGACCAGACGCTCCCACCATCGGCCCCACCATGGAGCGCTGGGAAGAATGAACTTCCAGGTGATCTTCTTGTGACCCAAGTATGCTGATACGTTCTCTTGGTAAACCATCCGACAGAGCTTCTCCGAGTCTCTTGACGTCTTATTGAACGTCCTTGCATTGTCTGAATAAATTGCGTGAGGGCGACCCTTTCGTGCTACAAAGCGTCGTAAACACATCAGGAAGGCTTCTGAGGTCAGGCTCGAAAGCAGTTCCAGGTGGACTGCTCTGAATGTAGCACATGCGAAAAGGGCTATGTAGGATAAGCTCTCTGCAGCCCCGGCTGCAGTCACAACAAAGAGCGGTCCTGCAAAGTCAACTCCAGTGACTTCGAATAGTTTCGTCGTTGTCAAACAATGGCGTGCTATAGTAGCTGTCGGAGCGTCGCCTGGGCTTATACTGAAGCGTCTGCACGTATATCATCTATTTATCACTTTCTTCACCAGTGTTCGTGCCCGGCAGACCCAATATTGCTCTCTTAACTGTGACAATGTGTCTCTCACGCCTCCATGTAAGGTTTCGCAGTGTGCTCGTACTGTAAATAATGTGCAAAAGCGAAGATCGTGCGGGAGGATGACTGGGTGATTTACCTCTTCAGATGCTTCAAGGTGTAACAAGCGCCCACCGACCCGAAGGAAACTGTTGTCATCCAAGAACGGGTTGAGGTCTTTGATTACAGAGTCCTCCTTTGCACCTATGTCTTTCCGAATTGAGCTTACTTCTTCTCTGAAGGATTGTTGCTGCAAAGGCCTGATCTAATAATTTTCAGCTTCAGCAATCTCTTCAGCTACTAGAAATCCGGTGTGCGCTGCGATTTTCATTCGGCAGCGTTCAATACATCTAAATTATCAGGCCGTGACCCCGAGTAGCCTTTCAATTTTGCTGTAACTGTTTATGTCCAGGACTGGTACCGACGTTGTCTTACTGGATATCGCAATGTGCACGGCAATCATTTCAGAAGTAATCCTGTCGTCGGTGTCAATAGCTTCTGACGGTGGTTGAGGCCATCAGTTTTTTTATTCGCATAGCCAGTATGGTCTATGTCGCCTCATGTTGCTGGATAATAATTTCTCCCTAGAAACTCCACCTGTGAGCAGGTTGGCTGAATTCACATTACCAGGGCAACACCTCCACATTAAAGTATGTGTTTTTTTCCTGATCTCTTTCACTCTGTTCGACACAAACAGCTTCCATTTCGTCATGTCGCCTTTTATTCACGAAAGTTCGATTGTGGAATCCGACCACAACGTACAGTGGATCTCGAAGCCCGTGAGTGCACTTGACACATAGCAAAGTAGCCTTGCTCCAATCAAGGCTCCTAGAAGCTCTAGCCGTGGTACTGCCATTGTCTTGATAGGTGCTACACGGGCTTTTGCGATCAGCAATTTGGGCTTCGCTGAACAGCACGGTACGACGTAAAGCGCTGCACCGTATGCCGAAGGGCTTGCGTCGCAAAATATGTGCACTTGTAGCTCTCTGGGTGATGTGCGTGATTTGGCTCCGCTGCCAAGATAACGCGGCATGGAAACATTCTGCAAAAGCGGTAGTTGATGCACCCATTCACGCCACTCATCCTGAAGATCCGGAGGTAGCTGCTCATCCCATGCTATTCAACGTGTCCATAAGTTCTGGAAGAAGTTCCTTATAGCAGTGGTGAATGGCGCAACAAATCCCATGGGGTCGAATATTCTGGAAGCAGCTTGAAGAACGAACCGCTTGGTATCCCGTTTTTCTTTCATAAACTCGAGAAGGCCCCTCAAATAAAATGTGAAATTATCCGTGTGTGGATTCCACATAATTCCAAGTACTTTCACACCTTGCCTGCGGTCTGTTCCTCGTGCTGCTCTAATCCGATAATCAATCCATCCGAGTTAGTCATTCAATTCCTCAGTGTCATTCTTGCTTGCTGCATATTCTCCTTGGATTCTCTGCAGATCTGAAGTGCTTCTTCATCTGACTCTGCTCCAGCCACTAGATCACCACGTAGAATGATTTACTGAGAAGTTTTGCGGTTCTGGCTTTGCTTGAATGCACGCTCCTCGGATGGTGGAGTATAGTTGCCGTCAGTAGGTACGGACAGGACGTCGCTCCAAATGGATCTCTTGTCATCCACTCTTGAATATCCTCCTCTGAGAAATGCAGTGCTTCCTTCTCTTGAAACCAGATGAACCTAAAGACATTTCTGTCTTTCGCGGCGATTGAAATTTGAAGGAATGCCTATTCAATGTCGGCAAGAAGAGAAATACGGTGCATTCTGAAGCGTAATAATACTATCACGAGATCCTGGTACAGGTTTTCATCCTTTTCCATGCATTCATTCAATGAAAAGCACCCTTTTGCGGGAGAGCAAGCGTCGAAAACGATCCGGACATTTCTGGTGAGTGCGTGCTCTCGGATCACTTCTCTATGCGGCATATAATAGACTGTTGACGAATCCAGGGGTGGCCCGTTGACAACTTCTGCATGTCTCGCTCGTAGGTACTCCCGTATGGTTGAGTCATACGTCTCCAAGAGTCCTTGCTTATACGACAGTCGGGAAAGAAGTTTCCAAAGTCTTGTCATAGACACTTGCTTGTTGCCCTACAGCTCCACGTCTTCCTTCCAGGGCAGCGTCAAGTCGTATCTTCCGCTCCTAAGGCAGACGATTTGTTCAAATTGCTGGAGTGCTGGACTGAGCTTGCTCTCACTGTCGACGGCGTCTGTTATTCCTACGCTCTCGAATTCCTAAAACGAACGAAGGAATTCGTCGCTCTCTTGTACACTGGTTTTCAATACGCAGACCATAATCCGTGAGTGTGTAACGTCCGTTGCCATGCTGGAATTTCTTAAAACATCCACCCCAGCTTCAAGTTCATAGCAATAAGCGTGTCATTGCCTGTGCATCGAGTGACCTCTCCTGTCATCATCGTCCACATTTGGTCGGAACCGATGAGAACACTGATGCCTTCATCCCCGACAACGGACCCGCATAGTAGTTGATCAGTAATGTCTTTTCCAGCTCTCTGTATTTCTGCGACAAATGGTGAATTTGTTGAACTTGCTTCGATATCTTGGCATATGTGCGGAATTTCAATTGCTTTCAAGGTAACTTCAATGTGTGAAAACTGACTTTTCAATCGATGCTGCACAACACGTGGCCTTTGCGCTGCTCGACTTGACTTGCTTGCGAAAGTGTTGAGCGCTATGATGGTAGATCCCACACATGACAACTGCAGCTGCTTTGGTAGCCTCTCTTTGACAAATGTGCGCTGACTTCCTCCGTCTATGACACCTCTGACATACCGACATGTAACATCTGTTACGGCCCAAGCCGGAAACGTCTGAAGAAGTACGCTCGTCGATAAACTCTCGAGGGTATGTCGATTCTTCCCTAGAGATGCACATACAGTCATGTTGGTGCATGGCTTACTTACCGGTATCCAGTATTTGTCCTGCCGGTTTCTCGTGTCTTCCGGCTTAATTTCTGCGGATCACACACACTTGTGGCATGACGCCCTTGACAGGTAGAGCACGAAACCTTGCGCCTGCAATCCCACGCCCTGTGACCTTTCTTTGTCCATCGAAAACACCTCATGTCTCCTGATAGAACGCGCTTCTTTTCTGGTAACGGGCGATCCAACGAGCACTCTTCCGTGGAATGTTGGCTCGATCTGCAAAACACACAGTTCTCAGGTACCTTCTTTATGGAGAACTGAGGGCGTGGGTTTTGAGCTACGAGACTGCAGTGATTTGTTCTGCGCATTCTCATTGCGACTGTCTTTTACACGATGGTGAGCGAACTCTCATCTCTAAGCTGTCCACTTCAATAGACAAGAAACTTAATAGGCGTTCCAGCTCCGTGTTAGAGGCTCCATTACTGCTGTAGCTCACCGCCCGATTGGCGCATGACCAATGGTACTGTACAACGAGATCGTGTGGTAAAGCCCGCAGTAATGTGTCGCACAGCATTGCCGAAAAGAACGTCTTGCTCACCCCAAGAGTCTCCAGTCCTCTGATGTTGATGATAACCTGGCCGTACAGGCTTGGGAAG